TCATTTCCGTTTAGGTGCCGCTCGAAATGCCATTTCACTGCATTGGTGGGAAAGAGAGGGAAGAGGGGTGAAAGAGACAGGGACAGAGGGAGAATACGCGGTCCATACTGCGCAACAATGAAGCGCTTGGGTAACGCTAAATTTCATTTTAAAAGCATTTTCATTTACATTTTGTCCATTTGATTTTGCCATTGAAATTTCGAAGCGAACAAACTTTTCCGCCGGCAAATTTTATTGTTTCACCATTATTACAGGTGAGAGTGTCTGTGTGCGGGTCCCAAAACAGTTTTATGACCCCAACGGTAAGGCACTCCGCGAAACGAAGGATCTCAGGCTCCTGATGGCCTCCCTAATCCGTTTGTGCTTTTAGTGGCGGCCAAATTTTAACGACGCATCTTCGGAATTTGTTTAAGAAATCTATAAGAGCCAAGCACATTTTGTTATTGCTGTTGGGTTCCCCTTTGCTGCCATTCGAATGCACACGCAAAAACAAATATTTGTGGTTAAAATGGTAATTAAACATAAAATGTAGTCAAAAATGTACAATTCTTTCAACTGTAACAAAATAAATTTTGAATAGGGGTACTTTAACTTGAAATACCGACAGTATACGGATTTAACTTTTTAAATTAACAAAAAATACTTTTTTAAAATACTATCCGAACACTTAATTGTAATTTAATAGTAGCTTAAAAATATTATGAAAACTTAAATTAATTCTGTTATAGATTTGTAGTACCTATAAAATATTAAATGTTTTTAAAAAACAAAAAATTAAAACTATTTGTAAACAAAACGAAACACGTTCAATTCGATTTATATCTGTTTGGACAGGAAATATATTTAATTTACTAAAAATATCTCTACAAATTGATATCCCCTGGACCAAACATTTTTCCCTGTGCATGTGATTTTTCACTTTGTCTGCAGCCATTGTTTGTACTTCTTTTAGCCCGCTTGCTGCTGTTTCTTTTTGGTTTTTATGCGCGACGTTGGTTGAACGCTTCGCTGCTTTGATTTGCCTTGCTTAGCCGGCTAAGGACCCCCTGACCGCGTGGAACGAGAGCCCCTGACCTTTATCTCGGCCATTGCAGGATACTCCAGGAGCCAGAAGCCAGGAGCCGGGGCCAAAGTCCTTGGACGGGACAGAATGGTGAACTGAAACTGAAACAGAAACAGGAGCAGCACTCGTGCGCACTTCGTGCTACAAAGCAACAAATCGAGTTTGCGAATAAATGAAATTACTTTTCGGTCTAATGACCATCATCTGCTGATTTTATTAGATTTGTTTCCTTTTGCCCCGTGTTTGTTTACGGCTTCTGCTGCTGTTTCTCCAGCATTTTCCTGCTGTATGTTGCAGCATCGAACTGTTCAGCTAACTTTAAATGACTTTGGTGCCCAATCGCTGTGAGCAAAGTGTTTGATAAGAGCCGTGTTACCTCTCGAAAGGCAGCTATCCCCAAAACAAATATATAGTATGAATTATTTGGGGGAAGACTTGGTTCATCATCACGTTGTAGCTCATTTTTGGTTTTTAAAATTTCCATTTTTTTGGTTTTTGGGAGTTTTTGGGGAAGTTTGTGCACTCTGGAAAAAGTAAGCTAAAAACTCAATTTGATTGCTCTTGATGGTAAATTAAAAATAAAAATGGTTATGGAAAACAAAAATGGAAACAAACACAGGTAAAAAATATATAAAATATAATTACAATCAACTTTGTTAACAGAAATGTTCAATAGCAATGATACTTTTTCAATTGTATTTTACTTTTTGAATTTTATTTTTATATATGTCCGTTTAGAAGTATCATATTTATTTATATTTGTATTTTGTTTATGCATTTTTTCAAGTGTTTAATTTGAACACAGCGTATTTGTGTGGGCTTTTGCTACCTACTTTCCCTAACCTGTCGTCACCTGTTGTTGTTGATGATTTTCCCGCTGTGCTGGGCCTCCGTTCTCACACCTAAATTTCAGCTTAGCTTCCCCCAAAACTGACATTTCATTTTTATGAAACATCTTATTTTTCTAATTTGCAACAGCAGGTGTCGCCATTTTCTGCAATTTTGTGTTTATATGAGAAAAGTGCTGTTGCTTTTCCGGCTTTTCCGCAACACCCACGCCCTTACGCCGACCGGGTGTAAATTCAGTTTACTGTAAAATTTAATAGAAAGCGAATTTTCCCCCACAACAGCTGCTTATGTTTGTGTGTGTGTGTGTGTTAGTCTCGGGGCAACAGTGCGTATGTGTGTGCGTGCAAATTGGGGTCTTTTGTTTATAGTGTTTCACATGTTTGCATATAAAGTGAGAATTCCTGTAAAGCGTGCTGTAAAAATACGTTTAATAAGCTACAAGACGGCTTGTATTATCCCACTCGCATTATGTTTTTTGGAGTTTCGTGGGGAAAGGAGCACAAGGGGTAGCGATATGGGGACTTCCAACCGACCTGACGTCTTTATTAATTCATAAAACGACAAACGCCAGGTGTCGTTGACGATATGTCTTGGCATGGGATTTTTTTTTATGTTCTTAAAAGTCAAACAGCAAAATTTGGAACTTTTGCCCAAATTACCAATAAAAACAATAGCAGCGGAGCACCAACACAAACACACTCACACACACAATAATATACAAAGCTACTTGCATATGTATGCAGGGAAAAATCATTTCCCCGATTTCCCTCCACCTTCGTATAATTCGTTATCTCTGGGGCGTATCAAAATCACGCTTGATTAACTTTTTCGAGCCATTTAACAAATAAGCAATAAAATCCGTGCATTTCCTTAGTCCGTGTCCAAGTCGGAACCTCAATTCCCCCCTTTTCCCCCTTCTCCCTTCCCCCTCACCATTTAACCCCCTGCCGCCCAAGGGGGTCGCCTTCTCTGTGTTGTCTTGAGCAAATTGCCATTTTGTGTTCAAATGAGACGTTTATGTTTTTTAATTTTTTCTTGCTCCCTGTAATGGCCAATGTCAATGGGTTCAGCTGAGGGCAATCTGGCCACCAGGGACTTCGATGCGGAGAGCTGTGAATGCTTCTTTGTTTTATGCGGAGCTTACAAATGGAATGTCCTTTTGTTGTTTTTAATTATATTTTTTATGATTTAATATTGTTAACAAATTGGTTAAATAAGAGAGAACGGAATTTATTTATGGTGAAATTTAATATAAGATTTCTAGAACGGTATGTAACAAACTTGAAATTATTATTAAACCGAAGTCATTAATATTTAGACTATTAAAAACAGTACAAAAAGTGAAATAAATTATTAAAAAATTTTACTAAACTGAAAGAGTTTTCTTTTGATATTTGAACTTTTGGAAATAATATATACATATCTTTATTTAATAACTAGTAAATACCACCCATTTAAGTGAATCGTTGGTAACAGATTAATTGATTTGGTATTTGATACAATATAAATCGTGGGTAGGCAGAGATTTCGTGAAATATTTGCCAACTTAACTGCCAATGAATTTGAAACTCGACTCGGTATAACGTTTGGACCACACAATCAGCACTTCAAACACAAACCGAGGCATAAATAAACAAGCAGAGGAAATTGCAAATCCCCAAATTAGCATTAGCTAATCAAGGTAACAAATGGCAGAAAGGACAAGAGGGGCGGTGGGTGGAAAATCTTTAAGCAAATAGGACATTGTGCGCAGATGTGTGCGTTAAGTGCAATGTTAAGGGTCCAAAGGCCCGAGGCCCCTGGGACTCTGTGTGTATAATATATAATCGAGAAGTATGCCATTTTGCATTCGGGAAGGCAAAATTAAATTTGACTGGCCAAACGCCCGCAAACAAACCGAGTCGAAAGCACACAAGCAGCAACAGCAGCGTTTTGGCCAACATTTACCAACTGCAGCTACATGGCTTGCAGTCAAATGCTCATGTTTCACCTGCACCTTGCCAGGACCAAAGGACCAAATAAGGATTGCCCGAGCAGTTGAGCAGTTGAGCATCTGAGCCTGGCAGGGACCAATTAAATATTGAGAGAGACATTTGCCATTTCGTGCTCCGTTTGCAATTAGCCATAACGTTCTGCTGGATGAATGCCAGTAAGTACTACTCAGTACATACATACATACATACATACATATAGTATAGTACATACATACATATGTATGAATAAGTAGATGTGGACAATCAAGTCAACCTCATAATGCCATTTGCCGAATTCCATTGATTGGCACCCGGCATTTGGAATTTGGCAACTGGCAACCGGCACCGCAGCCCTCAGACTTCAAAGCAATTTTCCCGTCACTCCTGCCAAAAGGTAAATATTTTATAGTCAACATAATCACATCGCACATCAAAGCCCCAAAATCCGCAATGCTGCCATCAATTGAGTTGCTAAATCAGACCATATTTATACGATTGGAAATCAAATTTTGATTTGACAGGTGGGTTCCAAAGGTGGCACAAAGCTGAGGCCAAATTAGCCAAACTCAAGTTTTAGTGTTGGTCTAAGATCAACTTGATTGAATGCTATTAGGAGGGGTTGTGCTTACCGGCAAATTTAAAATGTACTTGATTTTGATAAATTATTGAAATAATATTAACTTAATTGAGTATAATGATTTTTTAATTATGGCAAATGGTTTTGATTTATGTTAACTTTAAATTACTTAGTGAGTAGAAAGTGCATACTAAAGAAGCAATATAACCATAAATTCTTTATTTACATATTTGGATATTTTATATTATATTATCTTATCTTCAGCTTATTTCAAGAAGTTCTCAAATTTTTATAACGATAAGATATGGTTTTGGTTATACCCAAAATTCACTTACTATATATAATTGGTCATTATTAAATAAGTTTATCTTAGCTATTACCATCATTAATCTCGAATTGTTTTTATAAATTCAGTGATTATTTTCAATCATATTAATGGTAATTGTTAAATAAGCTTATAATCACATTTTTTTTTATTTCCTTTTAAAATAAAATTAGTTTCCTTTTTTAGATTTTTTTATAATTTCAAAAGGATTAATTTGTATGTTATGTACACAATTTATTTAACGATATTGGAGTGCACATTTACTATCAGTCCGATCCCAGGGTAAACCATTAAATTCTAGTCTGTGCAAACACTGTACCAAAACAGTTGAAAATCGAATACATGGGACTCCAAAATCATCCAGACCCACAAGCCATGAAGAATCTTTACTGGCCGGAACAGGCCATCTGGTACATAAACTGGATTACTGTGCGCGTCGGACGTCCGGTCATCGAGTCCTTGAGCAGGTAGGGCCTCGGGTTGATCTTGGTGGTCATGCCGGTGCCGCGGATGTCCAGATGAGCCCAGTCCACGCAGGGCACCAGCGAGTGGAGGATGGCAGCCGCCAAGCAGGAGGAGGCAGGACCCCTTCCCGTGTTGCACAGATCGTAGGTGACGTTCTTGTTGACGATCTGCTTGTAGTACTTGAACAGCGGGAAGCGCCAGATGCGATCGCCGGTCAGACCGCCCGACTTCCTGAAGTTCTGCCACACCGACTTCGAGGTGGTCCACAAGCCACTGGCTCCGCCACCGACGGCATAGTTGACGCCCATGGCCACGGTTCCGATGTCGATGACCAGTTTGGGCTTGAAGGTGGCCTGGGCGTAGAGAAGGGGATCCGCCAGGAGCACCACCGGTGCCTTGTCCACGTTCTTGATGCCCATGGTGGTGCCATTGAGCAGGGTAACCACATCGCCGCACTTCACCGCCATTCCAGAGGGCATGTGTTCGCAGAGCGGCATCACAGCTGTGATGTTCATGGGCAAGGATAGAGCAGCAGCTGCTCGCAGGACTCCCACACAAACAGCAGCTCCTGCCATGGCGCCTCGGTACTGGTCCATTCCCTTCTTGGGCTTCAAGCACAGACCGCCACTGTGGAAGGTCAAACCCTGGCCAAGGAGGAGAACGGGCCGATCTTCGGGTGAAGTGCCGCAGTAGCTGCACTCCAGCAGCAGAGGAGGTTCGCAGGAACCCTTGGCGATCATCAGGAAGGAGTTCAGGTTCATGTCCTCGATCCAGTCCATGGAACGCACCTCCACGGAAACACCACAGGGACACAGAGCATCCACGGCGGCCTGGGCAAAGATGGAGGGCGTCATCATGTTGGCAGGAGTGTCGGACAAGCGCCTCGCCAGATTCTGCGACTCCGCCTTGAAGAGACCACGCACCCAGGCATCGCGGTCACCCTTGCCGTACATATCCAGCTTGGGGGTGTGCAGGCGGTTCTTCTTCCTCTTGTTGGCGTTGTACCGCCAAACGGCGAGCGCAGCTCCCTCGGCCGCCTGCTCCGGATAGTCCATGGCGTCCACGTGCACCTCGTACATTCCGTGGAGCTGCAGAGCACGAGCTCCGGTTCCCGCTGCCACACGGACATTCTCCATGCCCTCGTCCAGCTCCTCGTTCTCGTCGTAGGCAGCACCCTGTTTGCCCACACCAACGACGGCCACACCCTGGTACTCTCCTTCGAATCCGCTGAAGAGCAGTCCCTTGCCGGGGGATCCGTCCATTCCACGCTCGCGGATCAGGGTCAACAGCTTGCCACCGAGGGCATCGTCCAGGGTGACGGCGTTGGCCGTTGTCTTTGGCGGCTTGTCGCCATCCTTGGCGTAAACGCCCACGACCACGCCCTTGGGATTCTTGCACTCCATCGCATAGCAGCGGATACTGCCGAGCGACTTCTGGTGGAGGTTACTCCTGCCCACCAACCGCAGGCCGACGCGCATCAAAGATATATCCTTGTAGGACGGCATTTTCAATAGCAAAATAGTTCACAATTATCAAAATGTAACACGGAGAATTTTGACAATCGCGTATTGTTCTCTAGTGTTTATCTAAAGGTCACTGAGCTTGTTAGCACACAATTTTTATCGACTATTTTTTTAACTGGGAATTTTGTATCGTAGTTTCTATTGCCAGCTCATCTGTGACCCGGACGAAAATCCAAATAAAACTGAACTTTTCCTGGCATCGAGCTAATGACTCAAAATGACAGCTCTCCAGCTGATAAAGTGGATTACTTGGATTGGTTTTTTGAGAAGATTTAAATCAACAATTTAAAAGAAACCAACAAAGATATCTTATTCGAAAGGTATTTAACAGTATACAAAATTAAACATATTAAACATTAATAATAAAAATATTCAACAAAATTAAACTGGAAAAACGTATAAGTTAAGTTCTGCACTTCTAAATTGTTTTTAAGTCTTCATAGTTCTAATTAATATAATATTTAAACATCTTTATTTTCATATAAATAGCAAAAATGGTAAAAAAATTGTACTTACTATCACAAAAGCTTAAAACTAGTTTGTGGACTAGTTAATAGTTCCGAAAAATATCTTTACGTTTCGAAATTATTCCTAGTTTTAAGCCCAAGTGAATAAACCGTATAATGACTCTCTAATATGCATTATTTTCATTTAAATAACAGACCCAAAGCTGCGAGATTGAGCTTCAGACGCGATTTTGTCAGCGGGAAACCCCCGCCCAGGATTATAACGCCCTCGACGCTATTTAAATGATAATGACAAAAGCGGAGAGTGCAGAGAAAAAAGTCATATGAATTTCAATTAAGTAGTCAACAAGCGGGTCCGGAAGCAGGGTCCTGCTGCCTTTTGGCCAAGTGCACAGCGATAATAATAACGGCGAGTGGAAATAATTAATTTTCCGAACCAGTGAGTCAGCGCTAATTAAGCTTAATTTTTGGTGTTGCATAACTAATTAAGGTGGGAACAGTCGGCGAGCAGCAGGCGCGTCGGCTTACAAAGAAGATATAGTATTATGCAAAAATTGTTGCACTTTAATTCTATTTGTCTGCGGGTGGACAATCTATAATTGGAAAGTATGCTCACGCTTATCTCTCGACTATTTGAATACGGAATTCAATTTAATGTTGCCCCAGCGCAGAAATATGCAAATCTTTTCCCTGGCAACACACACATTTACATTTTCGACTCAACTGTTTGCCTTTTGGCTTTGGGCAAGGTGAACCGAAGGGTCGAAAGGGGCGGCAAACACACAGGCAGCCCGAAAACCAAATTGGAAATTTGGTTATTTCTCGCCTTTGCGCTTGACCTGGCCGAAAGGCCGATTCCCGAGTCCAGTGTCCAGAGTCCTTAGTGCCCAGCACGGCAAACTTTGTCTCCAACAACCTGGCCAACAAACACAAACACACTCACTCACTCACACACACACACACATACATACACCCAGTTGCAAACTCGGGGTGGCTAACTTTGCCCGATGCCCGGCTTGGGTTTCCTCGTTATAAAATATTTGCCCGAGTTGAATAGTTCAAACTATTTGATTTAAAATTAACATTTGTCTTTGCGCACTCGGCTGGAATTATGCAATGTGTTCGGAGATAAGCGCTGTTGCAATGAAATTGAAATCATTATTATTTGGATAGGATTTCTCACACCCTCCAATCACCTTCTATGTATTATTGTTAAATGTTTGCAGATTGGTTGGGATTTAATTACATATGGTTTCGTCCATCAATTGTAAAGCTTGGATAAACATTCAAAATTAAAATGAAGATTTAATTAGCAGGGAAATCTTTCAATTCCAGGTAAATAGGATTTAATTTGAGTTCCATTATTTTATTAATTTATATCATTATCATTTATATCCCAGGCTACCAAATAAAACCAATAAAATTTATTTTAAATTTTAGATATTTTTTATTAAAATGTTTTTATCTCACTTTATTATAACTAAACGCTTAACAACTAAAGATTTTTGCAAATTACCTTAAGTACATTAAGTCTGAAGAGAGTGCAAGACACTTAAAATCATAATCGAAATGCTTTCTACTGAGTTGATCATGGGGCAAGATGGAAATGGGGTTTACAAAACAAACTGGCATTTGAAGTACACATACAAAATACATAACACGCTGAATGAGTTAATGAACATTTTTAGATATCGTTAGTATATAAGCTATGGACCGATTCGAGTTGATTATGTCGATGCACGATAGGCGAGTATTGCTTGTGATTGAGGTTTATCTAAGGATCGCTCCCGTAAGGTTAGAATTGAATTCGATTTAGGGCTGATTCATATATATTCGTTTCGTATGCATGCGTGTGTACAATCTCGATTTATAGTACATTCATATTGTGTTCATCGCGATTATGTAGTTAGGCTGTTAATAAATTTATCAAAACTTAACATCACATTGCTTCTTCGATTACATTTAGGTTGCCATATTTATAAGTAAGCCTTGAAAGTTCAAAGTACGGATATATATGTAATATGTTATGCTGAAACTGATCAAAGTCCAGATCCAACCAACGATATGAATGTGCGATTCTGCGGCAGTTTTATATGTACCTCCATGGTTCAATTGTCGTAACTAACTATGGATAGTATTTAAAGTGTTATGCTCGTATGTTAATCGATTCGAGGGGATGAAATGCACCATATGGGAGGAGCTGTGCCATGCGATAGTACCCTAATGTCTAAGTCTAAGTCAATGAATTGCATTGTAAATGCCTCGGTAAATGCATAATCCTTTAGGAAGAGTTTTTCTGTTCATTTCTGAAGAAAGTATGTCTATGATGATGTCGGTGATAATAATGGTTAAATGAGTGCTTGTCCATTGTTCTTCTTGCTTTTCATGTGCTTTTTTCGCAGTCGATTTACTAAAACTGATTGGACGATGACGGCATGTTGAGGGCGAAACTCTCTTCATGATATCAGACGTTGGGCTTGCGGAAGATCTCATTCGGATGCTGATTGCTGCTAAAGTTCTGCCGTGTCGAGCATTGCTATAAACGAAAAAAAAGAAGCACATCAGACACACACACAATTAGTAGGTTGGAATGCGGAGGTGTGTAGTGTAAGCCCCAAAGTGATTGCATTTTAATTACATTTCCATTGCATCTCCCACCCGGGAGGGCAATTACCCTGCATTTGGGTCACACCACAGGTGGGGTGGCCGCCGGATAATGACAACTTAACTACCTTACACCGCTTTTATTATTATTTTCCCTTTGATTTGACGTTGCGGTGTCAGTTTGGACAGCCGACCGGCTCGAAGGCTATTAAAATAATTGCCAGCGAAATCGTTTGTTATGGTGTGTGTCTGCCTTCGACCCACCAGAAACCGAACCAGAACCACCGAACCACCATCACCCCGCCATCCCGCCAACCTCATTTTACCACAAATCCACCCCCGGGGCGTTGGTCCTCATTATCACTTACCGCTTGCTTCTTTTCCCAGGACTTCATTGCCGTTTTGTACTTCTCGAACTCGTGGCACCAGTCCGAGTAGATTTTCTGATAGTCGTTGCTCTTGTTTGGCGGAGTGCATCTGTTCGGAATAAACAAAGTTCGCGAGGGATTATTATCTGGGCATAATTGAAATTCATTACAGAAAAGTTGTTTATAAAAATGGTTCTCTTATCGCATAGTTTATGTTCCTATTTATTTGTTAATTTCAATGCTGGGTTAATTAAAATGTTGAGTTATGACAAAATTCTTCACTATCACAATCTATTTAAAAGAGGGCAGTATTGCAGTATTAAAATAAGTCTGAAAAATGTAACGTTTTTCATTTTTAAACGATTTTAACGCCAACATATTTAAGATAAAGTTCGTTCAATTTCAGCTTTGCATTTGTACTTTGCAAATTTGATAATAAATAAAACAAACTTTTCTGTAACGTATTTACTTTAACTGTTTTCCATTTTAGTTTTATGTGTTATATGACTTTCATTGAATATTTTAATGTGATTGACGAGTGTTTAAGCTTACCTGTGGGCATCCACCGTGATGTTGTAGCTGCACAAAAGCGAGCCGCCCAAGTGGCAATCGTATCGACCGCCGTCAGCTTCATTCACGGAAACCACAACCAGGCCACGCTCAGTGGTCTCAATGTATTTGGTCGGCGAGTAACGAATCTCGTAGCTTTGAAAGAAACCAATTTGTTATCTATCCGCCATTCAAGCCAGATAAATTCCACCTACCGTCCCTTGTCCTTGGAGTGATGATACCAAGTCACTTGCTCGTTCTTCAGCACTTCGGGAATTTTGACAAAACAACCGAGATGAACACTTTGGCCGTAGGTCACCACAATCTTCTTTTTCAGCACACTCGAATCGCAAATGTCACTCGTCTCGTTGGCCACGTCCTGAAAGGGGATAATAATACAAGCAATAGATAAGTTTTTGATTTAGAAATAAATTTAAGAGGGTCTAATTTAGGTTTCCAATTTGTTCTTTTTGTTTTTGGTATTTTCTACAACTTTTTACCCAATGAGTTTTTTTTTTATACAGAATTTAAAAGCATTTATTTTGTTTTATGGCGGCGCAACCTAGTTATTTTGATTCAAGCCAACCCACCTGCAGTAAATCCAGCTCGTATGGCCGGCACGTATTGGCCTCCTTATCCCAGCCGCAGTAAGGATCACGGACGCAGCGGAAGCAGTTGTCGTAACGGCGATTGCACATGGCCAGGTCGATTTGCTTAATGCGATGATCGGTGCCAATATACAGGCTCTTACGTGTCTGGCTGATTTCCATCACTTGGATGGCCTCATTCGGAGCCACCTCGAAAATATCCAGCAGCTTGGACAGCGACTCTCCATTGCGGTAGTACTGCACGATTTTGTAAATGCGACCCAAATTGGTGCCCACATAGTAAACAATGTATTCCTGATTGAGGATGTCAATTCGAATTCTGTGAAAATGTACACGTATGCATATATGTAACCTTGAGTTTACATTTTCACCTTTTACTTTTAAAGCGGATTATTGGTTTTACTCATGTGCCTTTCAATTATAAAACCAGAATATAAAGTTTTCATTTTTAAATGAAGTATTTACATATTAAACAGTTCTTTATGAGTTTTTAACTTAAAGCCGCTTTTTTGATATTTGTTTTCAAATGTTTATTTTACCAGTATTTCATGGTTAACTTTAGGACATTTCTACCCTATGGTTACATAGAAA